TAATTTATCTAAGCTTGAAGGCAATTTTAAGATATATACTGTATTTATTTAATTAAATAATTTAAACACATTTTTAACAATATCTGTTATTATTAAAAGTGCCCTGAAGTTATCGGGGTTAATGTAAAATAATAAAACTAAAGTAACCTTTAGAAATCTTTTCTTAATTTTATTTATATATTTATAATTTTTATTTTGTTTTATTTTTTGATGCTATCGAACAACTAATTTTGGAATTATTCAAACTGTACAAGAATAATATTGACTAATTTTATGTTAAACAAAACAGTAATTTATTGAAAGTTAATATTAAAGGAATTGTCTATAATTAACTCTAGTGAAAAAATAAAAAAAAATAAAAATGAAATAACCACACGGCTCTGAATCACAAAATATATTCGCTAAAGGAAACAAACAAAAATTTCCTTATACTTTATTATGCTATTTTAATGACATTTATGACGAAATTTCTTGTTACTCTCCATTACAACGTTAGAATTTCATTTGAAACGGTTTCTACTTTTTTTTTTAATTTTCAAGGTTAAACGGCCAAACAACTGTTTCTATTGGACAAATAGTTACGTATAATACGTTGAGGTTTGTTTCCAAAAATAATCATTAAAAGAAAGGAAAATTAGAACTTCTTCAACTATAAATACGTGGCAAGATATCTCGATAGTCACAATTGTCTTTACTTCAGTCACAATAAGTAACTACACAAACAAGTTCAACATGAAGGTCTTGTGTCTTCTCCTTATTGTTGCTTTCGGTAAGTAATCAATTAATATATTATAATTTTATTAGTATTTTTACAAATATATCTACTCACATGTATTTAAACATCATGTATACTGTACAGTACATCATATATAATGTACTGTACAGTACAATAGGCTACGTAAATTATCTACACAAGAACTCTGCTTTCAGAAATGAAGATTTTTGAATTAGAATTTATAGATTTGAGCACAAATTAGCTTGAATATTAGAAAATAATAATATTAGAAAATAATATTTTAAGACTTATAAATTTATTTTGTTCTATACATTTATCATTTCTTTAATTTGTATTTACTTTTAGAAATTGATATTTTAAGTTATAAAAAAATAAAACAATTAATTATTTTATTTGCTTAATTTTTTATAATTTAAAAGATCAATTAATTAATTACTTTAATTAAGAAAATCTTATTTTAATATTCTTTACAATTTATAACATTCACATTTGAGTAGAAAACTTTATTAATTTCAAAATTTTAATATTGAGTACTAATACTTTAATTTTTTCCGTTCAGTGCAACTATCAAAACAAGATCCTTGCCACTGGAGAGAGATGGATTTATGTGCTGCAACTGGCTTATTGGCTTTACAAAATAATCCCGTACCACAGAACGAAGCCGAAATCGATACCCAATGCACGTAAGGATGTCTATCTCCTTATATTTATCAATACAATCTTACACATTTCTACAGATGAGAGTTGAATTTCTAACAATTTATTACCGATGTGTTGCAGATATCTGAAAGAAACAGTCGACTGTGCTAACAACTACACAAACAAATGCGCCACTCCATTGTATAAGCAACTGATCTCATTCGCCACCGCAGAATCTCAAGAAAATTTGAAGGGATTTTGCACACCAGGAAATGAATTGAGAAAAAGTGAGTTAATCGCACAACTTTTAAAATATGTTTACTTATACTTATTTAAAAATTAATGTTAATTCTTTCTATAGCTTTATTAAAACACTCTTCTTGTCTGGCTGAGGTATGGAACGAACAAGCAGCTTGCACTAGTGACGCTCGCGCTGCTATAGAAAAGATTAGTTCAGTCGAACCAAAGGATAGATTAAATCTCGCTTGCTGGTAAAGCATCATTCGTTATCCTTAATTAATTAAATTTAAAAATTTAAATATTATTTAAATATTTAAATTAATTATTGCGTTTTTTATCACTTTAGTACTTATCGTAGATTCCGCTTATGTGGAACTAGCTATGTAGAAAAGAAATGCGGAGCCGAAGCCAGAGATTTCGTTTTGAAATTTATCTCATTCTTCGCTTCCAATTTGCCCGATATCATCTGCCAAAACTTCACTCCCGAAGATGCAACTTGCAAACCTTTGCTTCCTCCAGTTGGAACACAACCAAAAGGAGATAATGACAGTCCATTGAATCAGCTTGTTAACATGTTTAGTTCCAACTAAAAACAGCCAAAGTGAAAAATCTAATCAAGATTTCCTATCTTGTAAATGAAACAATTCCTATTTTTTAATACGAAAAGAAATTTGTAACTAATACTTCGACAAAAGAATTATACAATTATTAAAATGAATAAATAAAATTAATTTTAAATAATTTTTTGTATTGTAATGTGTGTATATTCATTCTCTTCTTTAAAAGATTTATCAAATTAATTAATTTAAAAATATACATTCAATATAAGCAGCATTTTTCGTTTTCAAAATTATATTAATTAATTTTAACTTAATAAATCTCATTTATTAATTATGGTTTCATTTAAAAATGATCAATAATACTCTATAAATAAATTAAAACAAGTTTCTGGATATTACCATTAACATTTTTTAATAGACCTGTTTATTTTAATAAAAAAACACCTACTATATTATTATTATATATAAATGTGTTAACAAATAATTAAATTAACGATTATTACTTGTTAAACATTGCTGTATTAGTTTTTCTTATTAGAAACTTTCAGTTCTAATTTCACTCGGGTAGAAATGTAATTTATTATGTAATCTTGACCTCATAAGAAATGTTTATGGAGTGCATTAAGAAATTAACATGGAAATGTTTGTTATATGATTGAGTGAACCAAAATAAATTTTAAAAACTTTTATCAAAACTCACATAAATATAATTGCTTATTGTAAACTTTTTAAACATGAACGTGAAAATATCAAATTCAATAGGACATAATATTAACATTGACGAATTATTTAAATGTTTTAGTCAATTTTCTTAAGTTAATAAGTTTTATTATCGCTTTTAGCTAATATTTAACTTTGAAATTTACTTGTAGGCCTATATTATGTTTTTTTTTCTTTCTTTTTTAGTAATTCTATGTTTATTTAGACTGATAATAACGTTTTAAAGCCGAATTTGTAAAATATTTAAAGTACAATTTTTGACGTCACAATTTACAAACATCCACAATGAGGAAGTTATTCCTCGTGCATAAAATTATAATGATACTATATAATTATTAAAACAACTAGATTTTATTATAGCTACTTTAATTTTATTGCTGCTTTCTGTTTCCTGAAATATCGTTTTACTAAAATATCGGATGGAATTAACAAAAACATTCCTAAATTTATAATATGAGCGAAAGACACATTAGAATTTTTATCATTTGCGCATTCCGCTATATTGTCAGCGGTATTGGTGACTGACATTATCGACATCGCAGCTTTATACAGTGTTGTAAGGTTAAAGGATTAAGACGTTTTCACCCGAAAAGGAATTTAGTGATTTTCATAGAAAAACCTTAAAACATAAGGATTTTTAAAATATCCATTTTTAATTCTCGAAGAAGGAAATGCAACTGTGTAGAACGTGATTTCGGCTAAATTAATAATGCTTGGTATGGTACAAGTACAGTATATAACTTCACTCAACGTTGCAACGAATACCTATTCTTGAAACGTGCATGCTTTATTCTTTCCAACAAGGATAACAATAATCGACGATAATGCTGTTCGAATGTCAAAAGAGCAATCCGGTCGATCATTTTCAACAAACCTATCACTTGTAAAGTGTCAGCCTTGTTAATGGTTGTGATAATATACTTAGATGCTTTTATTACTTTGTTAATGCATTTCAAATTACACAATTTCTATATAGGAACTTGATAATATTTCGCATATTAATTTTCCTAACTGGCTTCTGAATTTGTAATGATATGGTTTATAAGTGTATGAGGAATTTTAAACGTACGTGAAAGGAATTTTTGTGTTCCTACAATCTTCTTCTTCTGCTTCTTTCGATGGTGTTTATATGGAGATTATAGCTCAATGTAGGCTCTTTCTCCGAGTAGACTTGTGTATGTGTATGATCGCTAGGCGACCGATTAGCCGGCTGTATCGAACAGCCATACGTACGCGCGGGAAATAAATGCCTTCCGGGAGGACTTTTATGGGGAACTGGCCTCCTATTCAGTCGTTATAGGCAAGGAGAAAACCCGGAAAACTCCAAGCAGCCAGCCTGTCCGACCGTGGCGCGAACCCACGACGAACCTCCCAGTCTTTAGGGTCTGGTCACCACTACGATGAACGGCAACGGAGACCACTCGCCCAGTTCCTACAAACTGGCAACACTGGTTTAATTTGTCCTTAACGGTGTATGCGTATGGCCATTTATTGATATATCAAACTACGATTCTTCATCTTGAATTCCACTTCATAAACCTCTCTTTAATCAGTGCCATAAACAGAGAGAATCCATGGGGTCCCCCTCGTAGTGAAAAAGTTAATAAAAATGTTAAATATAGGAAGAATAATTTAATTATAAAGTTTACTACTGACTTCGTAATTTATATATATATATATGAAACCTCTCTTATATATATACAGTCGACCCCCCTATAACACGGTAGATACGTTTCAAAATACGTATAATTTTTTGAGAACAATCGATATAAACTATGCTCTCTTCTTGGTGCCATATCAGATTCCTGACGTCGGCGACACCTGGCGTAGGTTTGTAATCCGCCAAGGTGTATACTAGGGAAAGTTACTACCCAGAGTGGTTTCCCGTTGCCTTCTCTGGGGCGCGATGTTACGCGAGGGGAACTAATGCCTTCCGGGAGGACTTTTATGGGGAACTGGCCTCCTATTTAGTCGTTATTGGCAAGGAGAAAACCCGGAAAACTCCAAGCAGCCAGCCTGTCCGATCGCGGCGCGAACCCACGACCGAACTCCCAGTGTTTAGGGTACGAAGACCACTCGGCCACTGGTGGGCNGGAGCGGTGCATGGAATGGCGTTCGCGTGCTTCCTGATAAATTTTTTCTTCTGCGAAAAATTTGCTGAACTTTGGAACCATTACTATAAGTATAATTTTTAAGGCCGTTAAATAATAAATGGCTTTTAGTAAGTTCGCTGCTCGTTTAAACTCAACGGTTTGTGCAATATCCGCTATTGGTCTAGATTCGACCAATCCTGTCGCGACACGAGTCGACGATGACGTTTTACTAAATTATACGAGTCTCTTTTAGCGTGTTTATACGAATACAGTCGCAATTTTTTCGCCGTCATATAGTAATCCGAACTATATGAACCCGTTTTATAGGAGAGTCTACTGTATATATATTTGTTATAATCCATTATGTAAGTATTAAAATGTGTATTCATTTATATTAATTAAATTTTACTTGGGTCCCTTTTCGTCGGATCTAGTTAAGCTATCGCTTCTAATTTTAAGCCATTTTCACGAAAGTTTTCTACTTTGACTACGGTGTTATTATGGTGTTATTTACAAAATACTTTACTTATTGCTTTAAATATCAAAATATTAAGAAGTATTATTGATTGAACAAAACAATGTTTGAAGATGACATCAAAACATACCTATTTAACACCGTACTTTCATGTAAAACTTGTACTTTTACTAATTACTTCCTCGTAAAAGTCTGGAAACTACTCAGTTCGTTAAATTTTACGCATGTGACCTATAAATGTCAATTAGATACCAAGAAGTTCTCATTTTAGAATTTTTTTTTAATATGTAATTCATTAAAGAGTAAAATTTTCAATGTTATAACACAGAACTGAATAAAATAACTATTTATATGAATTAACTGAGTTTTTAAAGAAGACTTATAATTCTCAATATTCCACTTTTGAGGACTTCAAGAACTGTTCTTTAAGTTCTAGTAGTTCTTGATTCTTCAAAACAAAACTTAAAAAATAATTAATAGCATGATTATTTCTATTAAGGCTTCAAATGACCGTTCTCTTAAAATGTTTATTATGAGAATAAAAAGTATATGTATTGTTGATGGAGTTAACAAGTAAATACAGAAGACTTAGCCTATTTTATTAATGAATTTACTTTTATTTTACAAATTTATTTTTAAAACTCTGCTGGTGGGTTTTTAATGAAGAAAAGAAGAAAGGAAGTTTCCTTAGAAACTTTAGAAAAGCTTGAAATGTTTCATAAGAAAATTAAGTTCGTTAAGACTTATAGAAAATAAACTTCTTTTCTTTAGCATTAGAATTTTTGCGTAAGTAATTTGTTGAAAACCACTTTAGTAAACTATCTCTCAACAATTAACTATTTCTTGATCTAAACTGTACATTACTGCAAATTGCTTCTGGAATGGTTCCACGATCGCGCTCTCGTAGATCAAAGGGAATTTACACACTTAAAGACATTTGTTGCCAATCGTGATGATGATAAAGAAGCTGACTTCTATCTTATAATGGCATCATTATAATGACAAATTTTTTGAATTGAAATAACGTGACTTCCGCTTTGTATCTGAAGATCGTATATAGTTAATCGAGGCTAACTCCATTCTCGAGATTAAGGAAAGACAAACAGACAGCCGGACGAACGACAGTGGAAATTTATAGGTTTACAACTGAGTTCAAAATAGAACTCAGCAGATCTTATTTCAAAAGGATTAGATTCGAAGATGTTGTTCCAGAAGAAGCTCGGGTGGCATGGATTGACGTTCCTGAGTCAAAGATGCCGATACGGTGATTTCTGTCGAAGTAAAAGAAGAGGATTGGGAATTGAAAGATTCCATTCCAAGTGATTCTAAAAGTTTCTTACCAAAAATTACTAATTCCATAAATACATTTGTTCCAGATATAATTAACTTGAGTAAAAATTATAATAAAACGAAAAAATATTTATTGTAACGTCGTCACATCGTCACAATCGGGCTGCAATTTTTAATCATATTTTTAATTTATTTAATTTAAAATACATGCTCTCTACCTCTGTTCATTGTCTTGCCCTTCTACATCATACTTTTCCTGTTAGCAATAGTGTCGTGCCGGTCATCTATCTGACTCCTTTTACGGGAAATTTTTTTAATTGAAATAATGTGACTTCCGCTTTGTATCTGAAGATTGTATATAGTTAATCGAGGCTAACTCCATTCTCGAGATTAAGGAAAGACAAACAGACAGCCGGACGAACGACAGTGGAAATTTATAGGTTTACAATTTTTTCAAATTATA